ACCTCCCCCTTTTTTGAGCTCGGTTAAAATTGGTTGTACCATTGTGTTATTTATCGTTCTTAAAAGTTCCTTACGCCCGAAAACGTATTTAGCTCTTACTCGCACAAGCAGCTCAGTGATTTTAAACCTTCCGTTCAGTAGATCCCTTTTTCAGTGGTTAAACGCTAAAACAAACGAAGTGATTTTCCTCTANAAAGCAGCAAGCGAATACTTTTATAAAACAAGTAATTTTTAGCAAAAAAAAACCGACTTAAAAAATATATATATATATATCTCTATATATTTCATGATTAAATGATCGGATCTAAACCAAATTAGTATGGGACCACCTCTGAGATACTACCTTTCCGTTGCAAAAAAAAATTATTGAAATCGGTTAACGTGGTCCAAAGTTATGCGGTAACATACATAAAAAATAAAAATAAAAATAAAAATAAAAAATAAAAAATATTCCGACGAACTGATAACCTCCTCCTTTTTTGGAAGTCGGTTAATAAAATAAAACAAGAACATATCAAAATACTACTTGTACAATCTGTGGCAGTCTTAATGTAATTTGAGTACGCCTCTGTATACTAAAGGGAACGGACATTTTCCAAGGAATCTCCCACTATTATCTTTATCAATATCTGGCTTTGCTTGCAGCCGCTGCTGTACATGTAATATATAATATATTCTTAAGGCTGTCAGCAACAAACTGTTACGTAGTGTAGAATTATCGCGCGAATAAAATTACTTTAATTCAAATCAAAACTTCGTTTTACTATAGTGGAAACTACACACTTTTCAAATACTTTTCACATACATATGTTGCACATGCTACTAGCAAGTTTTGGTAAAAATTTTTGGCCTCTCCACCATACTTTTTTCAAAACTTTTTTAAAATTGCTTAAATTGTTTTCGTCTGACACCCATATTGTAATAGATATTTACGTAACCTAATTGCCACCATTCAAGTTGAATTTTATTTTTTAAACATGTGGGAACCCTTCTAAATATAGATCTGAAATAAAGCCTTTGAAAGGCATTTAGAATGGAACCCATGTTTTAATAATTCATTTAAAGTATTAAGTAATTTGCCGTTAACCTTTTAAACAGGTGGAACCCTCTTCAAACAACTCAAAAAATGTGTGTATATACAAACTAAAAATTTCTTAGCACTCTTTCGTTTGATACCCATATTTCAATATTTCATATAACTTATGCATGATTTCATTAAATTCAACTTTTCAAACAGGTGGCAAGCCTTTGAAAAAAATTAAAATTCATTGCACATCTATAGGCCACACCCTTGAAATCTCATTTTTTTTAAATTTAATCAACTATGTTAATCTGGTGTCATTAACAAAAAAATAAAAGCTATTGCACATCCGGAGTAGAGGTTTACGCCGACAGGCTTCTGGAAACGCCGGCGCTACTGCCTATAAGGTAGATTCCAAAGAGCCAAGAGGCTACTAATCTTATCATGTCATCTCGCCAGCGTTAGGCATTCGCCATGCCAATTCAGATTATAATTCCTTTTATTTCATTTCATAGTTTTAAATTTAAATACTTTTACTTCCTACTTGAATTAAAATTTTGATGGATGGGCGAACAGAAGAAGGTCTGAGGTATATATGTACATTTATACATGGTTCTCTGTGTTCTCTATAGATCCGTATGTACTATTTAAATTTAAGGACATAAAAAAGATTTAAAAAGTTAAGTTGTTGGAGTAATCTATGTCGCTATTATTACATTTATGTTAAATTATGAAATTCTTACGATTTTTTGCGGATTATAGATTGATAATTAGGGTGGTCTACTATTTTCCAACAGTTTTACCCATCAACTCCCAGCAGAACAGGCCTTTTTGACCCACTATTTAAAAAATGGCTTATAGTGGTTAAAATTTCCACTAAAGTATTAAGCGCCAAATTTTCCTACGGATAACCGAAAGTAATGAAAAAGACAATTAATTTCCACCAGGAAGGGGGAACTCTAACCCTGTGTAGAAAACATTGCGGTGCGATGGAGCAAAATCTTCCTGGGGTTTGACCACCACTTGTAAATGCTAACATAATTTTCACACAGCCACCTAGTACCTGTATACGTGTGTGGGACCCTAGAAAAAAATAACTTACTTATTCAAAATCTGTTTAAAAAATATTCAACTCTTTATTAAAGAAAAAATACACAAGAGTATCAATATGTTTTTGTTTTATCTCCAACAATTGAGGAGTTAGATTCGATATTATCGTTAAGATATCGTTGAGATATTATCGTTAAAGTTTTTGGTGTGTGATAATTTTCTTGTTGTTGTAGTAATATGTAAAAAAGGAATAATGTTGTGGTATTGAAAAAAAAATTGTATATATTCTGGAGTAGTAGTGCCTTCAAGCGATGTATTTCAATGTGCATTCACCATGAAAATTTTGTACAAAATTCCTTAGGCGCCTGCGACGGCGCGTGAGTAATGACAAAAAACGGCGGCGGCGGCGACCATGTCCTTTCACGTGGTACTTCAGTTTTAGTCCAACTAACGATATTTACCTTATAATTTTTAAAAACGTGGCAACCCTACACAAAAAAATAATACATTATTAGACATCTAAAGGCCAAAATATCTATTTAAAAAAAAAATCTCGACAAATCCGTTCAGTATTTTTCAACATTAACGTGTTCAAAAAATTTCGACTTTCCATGTATATGTATATACTATACTTTGTAAGGAGGATACATACATACATGGCGCAATAATCAGGTGAAGTAATAAAATAGTTTTCTCTCTTTATTTTCTGACATTCGGCTGTCTTATAGTCAAAATTCATAGGCAAATTTTCAAATAAGGCAGTGTCAAACCATCCTGTCCTTCTTCTCGCTCTAATTACTTCACCTTGAACAATTCCTCCATGGGATACATAGATTTCTACGCTTGGAAACTTATACTTCGCTAAAAGTATTAGATTTTGGAATAATGAGCAAAAATGAGCAAACATTTTTGTTATTCAAATAAGATCAGTGCTATTCCTTTAGTTCGGTATTTTTATTCTAAGTGCCTCTGGCAATCTGGCTAACTTATCGGTTTCACATCACTTCTCTGCTTTATGATTTATTAAATGCTGATTTCATACAACAATCAGTGAAGCCTATCGACAGCAAAAGGTGTCAGCCACTTTGTTACCTACCTCAATCAAATTTTTTAAAAAGTAATTTAATAGCCAAGGCAATGGCTTCATTATTTCAATTTCTCATACTTTCTTTCTTATGTTTTCTGCTTTTATTAATCACTTTTTTACGTTTTTTTTTTATTTACAGCTATATACTTGCAAGAATGATATACAATGAAATAAATACTTTGGAACTTGGTTATGTGGCATGCCAACAATAATTGTGACAAGCAAAGTGAAATTATTTCCATTTTAATGCATAAATTGTAATTAAATAGCAGCTAAGCCACCCACATAAATATAAGTTAACTGTCAAATAAGGAAGCCGATACAGCAATTACAAACAATAAGAGCCCAACAACAGCATTGGCAATTCAACGCATTCACTCACAAATCAGCCCACTCACTTGCCGTTCAGCGTCCTCAAAAAAGTGCTCAGCGGGCAATACACTCCGGCCTTCCCACTTAATTATCCAACAGCTAAATTACACATACACACACATATTTCGAATTCATACGGCAGCACGCATTGACGCGCCTGCGTGCAACCATCCACCAGCAGCGGTTCACACCACCAACCAACACTTCGCCGAACCATCCATTAATTCACCCGGTGACACAGATTCGACGCGTTTGTTTTGATCAGCTGCTTCGAGTGGCGCGAACGGTTAACCTGACGCAGGCGTTACACACCTTCACACATCGCAACCGGCACCGGCCGGCAAGGTGCCGCTAATCGTTTTTTTTTTTTCATTTATTTCTTTTTTCTCACTTTATACAAAAATGTTGTGGCGTTTTATTGCCGCTGTTGTGGTGGCGCTGTTTGGCTTGTGGCCCGCGCAGTTGGACGCTTATATTACTCAGTCAACAGGTAAGTTTTACACTCAACATACTTAACCATAAAAATATTTATTTACTCACTCGCGGTAATTTAAAACGAATTCTATATTAGAAAACAGTTTGTTGATTGAAATACTGAAATCACTCATAGCGCAATTTACTCAAGTGTGGTTTCTTTTCAAAAAATTCCTAAACTGCTTTTTGTATGCTGCTATGTATTCAGCATGCTTTGGCATAATTGTTCCCCAATGCTAACGGGATTAAAGACTGATTGACATAAATAGTTTCGGATGGTAATTACTTGTGAATAGGAGAATCGAAAAATATGTAAATAAACCTATTAAAAATGGAGTTGGCAAAGATATGCAGATCCAACATTAATCTTTCAGTTCTAAATTTTGTAGCTACGTACATATTTTACGTGAATTTACGTAAGCAGCGGCGTAACCAGAGATGAGCATGGGGATTTTACTCAATCGTTTTAGAATTAAAAACAAGAAGAAAAGATACACATAAATATTTTTACTAACAAAACCGAAACCATTAAATTCACAGGATAAAAATTGAGTTTAAATAAAAAAATTATTGCTTAAAAAACTAAAAACTCACTTTCCATAATTTCCATTCGTACTATCATCAGGTTACTTTAAGAATGGAAATTTTAAGCAATTCCAATTCATACTAGTGACGGGCGGAATATCGATTTTTCAGTATCAGTGGAAAGAGTTATGGCGATTTTTAAATTACAGTGCTTAATAACACAGAAATGTATAATAAATAGTTAGTTCTAATAAATGATTACAAATCAGTGTTGGTAGATTTACTGAAATTAACCACCCGTAGGTAAGTGTAGGGAAAAGCTTCATTTATTCGCTCAAAAATTGCCATATTTCACTTCGTTTTTTATTTACATTTCTTCACTCATTTCCACCGCGCCTTAACTCCACACAACTCACCACAAGCAAACAAAAGAAAAGGCCAACAAGTATGATATAAACTATGCCGATAGCCCCTTGTCAAAATTCTTGCAACTTACCCGACCTCTTAACTGCACTTTAGCTTTTGGTGGAAATATCCTACTAAGTTGCGCCCGATACTAAGTTGCGGCGAACGCTTTCACGTGTATAATTAAGTATAATGAATTCTTTCATTTTCGTTTACAGATACACGTTTTTTATCAATAGAACTGTTAAACAATTCCCTTTTAAAAATTGTAAAAACACAATTTTTGCGCCAACTGAAACAAATTGCCTAATTTAATACAATTTGGTCAAACTGCCGATAGGCAAAGGAAGGTTATTTCTCGTACTAGAAAACCAAGCTGTAACAATTTTATAAGAAGTTATTTTTTGTGGGATTTCAGCCAAAATTAAACTGTATCCAAGAATACCCCGAATTCCCGCGAACTAGGGATCGAAGCGGCATGAAATTGCTAAAACTTAAGTTAATATAGAAAAATTGTAGTATTTGAAAAACATATTTTTTGTTTTTATTCTTACATTGATCATATCCAATGCTTGTATATTGACATACAATTTTTTGAAAGTGCATTCGTCATTTTTCCATGAAATGACCGCAAATCTGCATACATTCCACTTAAAAACTTTGTTCAGATCAATGAAAGACTTTCTAACTACTGTTATCTTTGGTTGTGAATCATTTTATATGAATACTACTAAAGAAGTATAAGTTCTGTCGAAACTGAATTTTATATACCCGGCGCAGGTATCAAATGTCGTCGTTTCAACTTTCTCTACAGTACTTATGCGTGATGAACAGTTTTCGACTTCAAACGTTTTCGATAATATGCTGAGTTAGACTTAATGATATAATTGAACCAAGTTTGGTAGAAATCGGTAAAGCGGTTACCGAGGTAGATCTTTCTAGTCGTAAAGTAGGCGTTGATTAGTTACGGCAATCATCGATTTTGAGTCAATTAGCTTCAGTAATTACTGTTTTATCGCAGTTTTCGTTTTACTGTAAATTACCGTTACATGGGAGGTGAGCGTGGTTTTCGCCCGATTTCAAAGATTTTCAACAAATTTCTTAGCTGGGCCCCAATCAAGGGTCTTACCGAGATTGGTAAGAATTGGCGAAGCGGAAGGCGGGGTCACGCCCATTTTCCAATAAATTCATAAAAACACTATTTTTTACCAAAAATTCCACTTCACATACTAATTTTCAACAATTTGCGAAAGATCGTAATTCTTGCATTCTTCGTTAATACCGTTGTATGGGAAGTGGGCGTGGTTACAGTCCGATTTCGCCCATTTTAAATACCAATCTACCTTGGATAAAGGGCAACCTACGTACCAAATTTCGTTGATATATCTCAATTTTTTCTCAAGTTGCCCTGTACACGAACAGACGGACGGACAGTTAGATATGGCTTAATCGATTTCTCTTTTCATTCTGAGCATTTATGCATACGTTTGTCGATATCTAACTCGATTCCTTTAGGCTATTACAAACAAACGTTATGTGAACAAATTTACAATACCCTTTTACACAAGTGCGGTCGGGTACAAAAAGGTGCTTATTTAACCCTTAATTAGGCGCATGGAGTCAAGGCCATTTCAAGTTGAAAAAAAAAATATCTTGGAGTGCTTGGAGCGTGCTCGCGCTCTTTCTAGCTTCCTAAGTCCATGCACGGTACGTTACAAATTCACTGCCAGAACATCGTCGCGTACATATGTGTCGCTACTCGCTTGAGCGCTGACCCCATGCGACCACTAACGTAACATTTTTTGAGGGCGGTAAATTTAAATCTTTTTTTTTTACGTTTGAAGCTGAAAATATGTTTTTGTTTTCTTTTTCTTTTTAAGTTAACGATAATAGAGTACTTTAATGTTTTCGATAATACACACCATGATAAAAACATAGCAAGGTAGAACCGTTCTCTCAATTTGTCGGCCATAATTTTTTTTTTTGAAGTTTGCCAACATTTTAAAATCATATAAAAGTGAAAATAAAAAATTGAAATTGTTCGAAATTGTTGTTGCTTGAGATTGAAAATGAAAATGTGTGTGTGAGTTTGTGAGTAAATTTAAAAATTAAATTGTTTGGAAACGTCAAGAATTTTAAAAGTGACTCTCAGCGGTTCTACCTTACTATATTTTTATCATGATACACACTTCGTTTTTTAAATTTGAAATCTCTTTTTTCAACACTTTCGCATGGGGTCCCCGCGACTAATTGTGTGATTTTCTTTGCGCCTAATTAAGGGTTATAGCAGATTCACCGTTCGTATCCGGAGACATTTTTTTGATAATTTTCCACGTTCATTACCCACTCGGTCTCACTGAGATTGCAGCAAAGATATGCCGAACTCTCTCTGCCCGAACCAAATTTGTTTTGATTTTCAGTCCAAATAACTTGATGATTGGGTTTCAGCTTTTTCTTCTTTGTGCGCTTGGCACCGGATTGAAGAACAAAGGGTTTCAAAGTGCAGTCGACAAATTTACAGACATTTCAACGAATGTCACTCTCAACGGCCATGGTTTTTTCTAATGCCATTAAAAAAACCTCCTTCGCAGCGAGAAAAGGAGCGAAAACTGCTTCAAAATGTATTTGAAGTTCTTATCCCGGGCATTGTCTGATGCGAACAGACGCCATTAGAATAGGTATTCAGTTGAATTATTACCATCATAGCTATGGATTTGTAGGAAATCGAAAGCGCTGAGCATTGCCCATGCCACTACGCCGTATTGAGGAGGGTTCGTCGATGTCGGCCAAAGAATGCTCTTTTTCAGTGCTGATTGAGGGCAGCCAAGATAAAATAACCTAGAGTTAGAGTTTGTAAGAAAACGTTCACTTTAGTCTGAGGCACATCGACAACTTTTGGCATTAATAGTGTGCAAGCAGATCTTGAACGACATTCACCGAGAGACCGTTAACACCACTTTCAGAAGCTCTCGCCCAAGACCAGCTTTATTGAATGGAAAAGCTTTCTCTGCGCCGTAAAACTCATGCTATTTTAGCATCTCGAAATGCCGTTTATGCATAGTAAACTCAGATGTAAGCGACATATGCACACTTGACTACACTTAAATCGTGTATTTCTTAGCACACCCTTAGTCAAGCTTTATAAAAGCGACTAATGCTTACAACATCAACATCTAATACTGGACAACACAAGGAACATATTTCGTCTTCTGGTTATTCGTAGAAATCCCTTTGATTTTGTAAGTTAACCTTAACTAACCGGCTAATCTTTATTGCAATTATGCTTGAATATTCCAACGCATGACCCACATTTCAGCGATGCTAAACAGTTAATCAACTGTATTTAACTTATCAACGCGTTGAAAAATAATTTCTTAAATAGCTATAATTTTCCTCATCATGCAGAAAAATATTTATAAATTCGGTTGGCTTGTCCATTTGTGTCACTCTGACTGCGCCAACGAAACCAATAACGCCCAGCGGAAAGTTCAAAATTGCTTACCATAATTATGTGAATTAATTTGTGTCCCAGTTTTATTTCTCCAACAAATCCATCAGCAACTAATCTACGTTAGGACAGAAAAACAAAAATACGCAGAAGAGTAAGAGATTAGCCACGCTTTAAGCGCTACCCATCATTAAGTTTGTAGCAGCATTTCATCAACTAGAAATTCCCACCGGCGAAGGCATGCAAATGAATTCGACGCAAGCAAAGTAAAATGTTACTTAAATAGAATGAATTGAAGACAACCCACACAAAAAAAAAGATTATTTACGGAATGAGTTAGAGTGAAAAGTTGTACAAATGTCGGTGCTATGACACAGAAATGGAAAGCGTTGACAACAAAGTTTTGTGCCCAAAACAACCTGCCGCAACGGACAATCATTTGGAAGATGGGCGAGAAAAATGTGAAACTCGCATGTTCCACGTAATTTCTCACAAGAACGTTGTTTGTTAGTAACTATATATACATTGAGCATCAATGTGTATCTTTTTTCTAATTCTTCTTTTCTTTTTCGATTGGGGGAGGCAAAGCTTACCGGATGGAACATACATAGTTAGTGTGAAATTAATGACGAAAATGGCTTTGCTTTCTCATTCCCATTGTCGAATAGACTTTCCCATTTCTTTGCATTGACTTTTAGTAATTGTCACACAGAAATAATAAGCAAATGGTCGCATACAGTCATTACGAGCTGCTATCACAAATACGCTATCAAACAAAAGACTTAAGGCACAAACTTGCGCTAACCGTGCGACTAAATTTCATTGCCTACAAACACGTAGCGACAGTTGTAAGCATTTGTTTGATGGCAATTGTCATTGCGCGCTCGGAAATTATAGTGCTGTCATTAAGCAGATTACGCGAAGGCATTTCAAAAGGCAAATCTAGATATTTCAATGAGCATTTTGTTTGCGCAGCACGTCGCGTCACACGGCGCACAGTAAAGTGCGTTGAAAATATGATTGAATGAGGGTATAAATAAATAATGAAATTTAGTTGTATTTTCTATTCATTAGCTGGCTATATTTGGTCGCTGGTGAGTGGCGAGAAGTAGCTTCTAAAATCTGCACCAACACATGCATACACAGTTGCATTTAGAAGTGCAGCAAAAGATCAAGAAGCACACTTATGCAGTTGTAAATAGCTCTGTTTGTGCTGGCAGTTTTCCGCTCACTTTTTCTCTATGTAAAGACCGCGAGTTTTATATGCGGAGTGCAACGCTAAGAAATCAAGACCACAATGCAGCTGTGGGTTGCCGCATTTGCCCTTCTCCACAAGAAACACTTTTTGTACAATAGCTAGCAATGCTGTGCATGAGTGTGTACGTATGTTGCGCGCTTGCTTGTGAAAGGCATAACAGCATAATGGCGCAATTTGTGTGATATTCTCTTCAGAAAAGCCATTTACGATTTTTTTATTTTCCGGCCTTCTCTGTCAGCCAGCAGCTTTGAACTGCTTTAGATGACCAGCAGAAGCTCTAAGCTATTATGTCGTTTATTTGTTGTTGTTCTGCCCCTACTTTATACTATTCTTTGTATTTGTTTGTGTGTGTATGTTGGTGTAAGAAATTGGTTTGGTTCCAACTTTCACCCAGCCGTCGGACTTATTGTGGGTACATAATACGCTGAAAAAACCTACCAATTTCTATATTTTCGTAAGCCATAAACACTAGTGTACTTACTTACTAAAATCTTTCAACTGGTTCTTAAAATAGTAATGACTTCTTAGTGTTTTGCTTACTTAATAGTTTGTTGATTGTGCTAGATCACATGCTTAAAAAAATGGGTATTTTGTTTGTAGTTTTTGTATAAATAAATATTTTACTTTCTAGACTTATTTAGTTGACTGCTTTTCTTCTTAAATATTGTGATGAGCCCTATTAAGCACAATTCATTGTACAAAAACTGGAAAGGTAAGCCGATTTTCATTCGTATTATACGCCTAAGTTAGTACAGAAAGTAAAACTATAAAATTTACATAATGGAAAGTGAAATTCTTGTCATTTAAAAACAGTTTACCTCCTTAACTTTCGTTTCGGGAAAAAATAAAATTTTTTTAATAAAACCTATGTTACCAGGCAGTAAATGGGTGAGTGAAGTGAGTTGTACCTCGCGTAAAAAGTAAACTTAGGCGGTGGCTAAATGACCAACATTTTTTCCATTAGTTGCTGATATGGAAGTAGTCAAAACTCCGACCAACACTCCGGCCGATTGCATTATGAATATATTCGTTCTACTAACCCAGCCAAATTTAACAGAGGTAATAAGCCGATATTCTGCAAAAGATTAAGGAGGAAGGTGTTGATATAATGTTGGTTAAGGATATCACTTACTTGTTCCTTTTCGAATTACCTTCGGCTCTTTTCTCTGCTGATTCTGAAACAGAAGTTTGTCAGCCTCACAAAAATCCAAAGAAATCAGTTTTGAGCAAATTTTATAAATGCGCATCCCACACACTGGCATCAACCAACATCGAGTGTAAACTGTGGAACGGAGATATATATAGAGCAGTAAATTCTTTGATCACAGTTCTCACCAAGTGCTTCGAAAAAGCCTTAATAAATCACATCATTCCTGCAAAAAAAAACCATGACACTTAATCAAGCAGTAAGTGCAATTATGAACAGAAGGAATAGACCAGGCAAAGCCAAAAATTCCTGAAGATGCATTCAGATTGAAGCCGAAATATCGATGATAATAAATAAAAACATAAATTCTTATCGC